TTTTTAATAAATACCTTGTTTTTCAGTAAAATAAAAAAATAGTAATAATCATAGTAACCATGTAATGTCGGATAACCGTGAAATATTCGCTAAAATATCGTTGATTATCTAATTAATTTTTAAGTAATTATTTTATTTTTATGTTATCGATCATTAATGTTGCTTCTTCCCTCTAATTTATTTCATTTAAATATTTCAAATTTAGGAAATTTTCTCTGGCATAATCGAATTAATTCTAGCATATGATGACATCACGAAATTTAATGCACATATTTTTTCCTTATTGCTCGAAATAATATAAAATACCTCAATTTTTTAAAAAAAATATCATTAATAGATTTATTCTTTCGTTTAGCTGCAGAATGTTTGCAAAAAAACCTTATTTTTATTCCAGATTGGGCAGATTCTAATCTCAATCTTGAGTGAAGAAAACAACTCTATTATAATTATATTTGTGTTTTAAAGTGTTAATTTGCCTTTAAGAACACCTCACACATTTAAATTTCCTAAAATCGACCAACTTTTAGCATTGCGTTGTGATTAAGAACTAGCTCTGTTGACTGGGGATAATCATGAGTAAATTAAATAAACGTACAGTTGTATATTGTCTATATCTTAATTTTATTAAGTTTTTTTAAGCGGAAAAGAACAAAATTATCAAACAAAGTGTAATAAGAAATTAAGAATAAATGTCTCTTGGATTTATTGAAAATTAAGTGAATTGCTACACAGACAAGTATACCATAATAATTACCTTTAGCACAGCAGTGTACAAGCGGATCGACTGGAATTTCTCGAAACATACATGGAAAAGTCGGGATTTCATTCTCCTGTTGAGTGGCAACCCGTGAGTGAACCCTATATGTACATTTGGTGAGGTTGACAAGTTAGGGATAACGCACACAAAACTAACGAGAGCATGGTTTGCATATTGACAAATGTAATTGTGAAATGATGTTGAAAGAGGCATTGATATAAATAGCCAAAATGCTGAAAGGCTTCAAATTAAATGCGAATAAATATTTTGTTGAGTGTTGGTGTTGTTGTTAGTGTTTATTCTACAAAACATAAATGTTTTGTAGCTTTTAATGTGTAATTTATCCTAATATCATTAAGAATCAATGTCATAATTACAGTATTTTGAACTGTGAAATTTATAGATTGATTTTAAAGGGCTTTTTTTAACAAATATTGTAAAAAATAAATAATAGTGGTCATGTAACCATAAGACTAAGGATATCAAAACTACCAATTTTAATTATTTATAACTAACTGCTTACTTTAAAAATTATCTCTACATATTAAAGCAAGTTATTTGCCTTTCATTAATGCTTAAGGTAAAATATAAAAATGTAGAAATTCAAGTAAAACTTATTCTTTAGCAAGACTTAAAATAATACAAAACAACCTGTCATCTCTGGCTTTAATGGCTCATTGGAATCTTAAAATATATTAACTGGGTTACAACCCCTGGAACTCTACATGAAGCTATGACACTAACTGCATCAAACAGAGCTTGACTAACTTTCAACACTTGCCAACCATGCCTACATCAGGCCTTTGAGGTTTTTCTATTCAGCTGATCTCTCTCTTGACAAGCAACAGCGGTGACAACATTCATTCTTTTGTTATGAATCATGCTGATTATGATCTTACTTCTCATTTTAACTTATGTCGTTTGACATAAAAATCTACCTGCTATTTACTAAACCTCTCAACTGACCAAGTATGTGACAAAATGAGATATAAAAAGATCAACATAAGGCTAACTGTTAGTAAAATGTAAATGTCACTTATCTTCTTTTAAATATGTCCAACTATTATAAGTGTAAAATATTTAATGCTACTTGATAAATGCATAAAGTTTATTGTATCTCAACTTATTAATCATTATGTTAATATTCATGTTAGTATAATGCGTACTATTAGGGATCTATTATTTTTAGCATAGTATTACAAAAGTGAAATTCAGGCATACATGATATTTTGAATTGAATTTATTCAATTCCCATTTGCTCATAGGTCCTTAATTTTTTTTCATTAATGGTCCTTAAAAGTACTTAATTTCAGTGTGCAGAAATGTGTATGAACCCTGAATTCTGTTTCTCAGAGTTGCAGATCTGTTACATGATTTGAATTTCTAGCTCTGCTGAAAATGCTGTAAAATAGATGAGCAGTACGTGACATATAGGCAGTCTTTTGCGAATGCAAACTTCAGATTATTGATTATATGGTGCTGAATTGTATTGAGATTTCTTATTAATATGTTATCTGTTTGGTTAAAATACTATTCTTTAATATAGGATTTTTTTTTTTTTTTTTTTTTTTTTTTTTTGCAGAATCATTTGTGCCATAAGTGTTTTATGATGCACACAAATGAGTCATTCTATTATTTTAATTGCTCAGTAAATTAAGAAAATTAAAAAATTTTCCTACTGTTTCTTTATTTAAGATGTCATGGAAACCCTTAATTCTTGTTACCCTTTCTTAAATTTTGAAGTTACTTTTATTTTTATAAAATTTGTTAAAGGAAAAGCTTCTTAATCTTTTTTTAATAGAACTGAATTTTAAAACTGTGTTTAAGGTTAATGTTATCTTTTTTTTTTTTTTTTTTTTTTGTCTCTGTACCTGTTATAATGAGATTATGGTGTGACTGACCATAAACCTGAAAACACAGGTCAGAGGTTTGAATGATCTTGAACAGTTTTTCACGGTGTCAGTTTGGTAATCTTCATTTATTACTTCATAGAGCTGCATTTTGATTGATCTTTAATGAGAGATTTCAAATGGCATAATTTTTAGTGTCAGTCAGTATGAAAAGAAATTAATGATCTATAATGCTTTCTCTCCTCTCTCATTTTGGCTTTAGTAACACAAACTTGAAAGTAACTCTATGATTCTTTTAAATTTAATTGCATAATTCTTTAGAATTAAATATTGTTATGAATTTTGTATTTCAATAGTTAATTTTAGTAGAATAATAATTAAAATTGTATTTCCCCATGCAATGCAGCACGAGACAAATTTTAAGAAAAAAACTATGCCAGAAAAACTAAGTAAAAATACAGGGAGGCGTGCATTTAACATTGAGTAAATGTGTATCTCGGTAATATGTATTTAAATTGAATAAATGTAATTGACCACTATGTTAGCTGTAACCGTAATTCCACGCTCTTTTTGCTTTCCAGAAATCATGAGAAGCAGAAAGTATTAGAAAGATATCATGCAGCCAGTTGAAAACTAAAAAGCCAGAAAGAGTATCTCAGTTCAGTTGCTTAGTTACTGTTGTTGCGAGTTGTTATTTCCACATGAATTGAGAAATCAGAGTTAGCTTTCTTTTTTACATGCACTTGCATTGCATTTTATTTAATGTTTTTAGTAATTTGAAGTATAACTACTGATTATATTGAATGATATTGTGAACACTTGTATGAATATCTCTGAGGAAAATTCCAGAGTTGTGATAGATTTCTTTTGGATAAGAATAAATTTATTTACCTATTTTCAGACTTATGCATTCAATCTGTTACAAACTCGTATGCATACACCACATTTTGGTGTCAAAAGTAGGATTGAACGCCAGTGACAAGAGCGATGGAGGAACCATTAAGGCAGTTGGTAGCAGCCTTTGCTGCATTCAAAGAGGAGGTGAAAGCTGGCCAAGAATCCGTTAAAGGAAAGGTGGATGTTGGTCAAGAATTCATCGGTTAAAGAAGAGATGATTGCTATTCAAGAAAATATTGAAGCAGGTCAAGAAGAAATGAAAAAAGAAATTACCTGTATAATAGAAAACAAATTTGAGGCTATGGAAGGCAGAGTAGATACTGCTGAAAATAAAGTTGGACACATTAAAGAAAGAGTTTCTTCTTTAAAAGAACAATAGAAGACTTTCTGCTATGGAACAAAAAATTGATGGCAAGGTTTCTGTGGTTGTGAAAGAAGTTGATGCCTTAAAGAAATAGTGATGACAGGGAGCTGTTACTATGAAAGTGATGGTTTTAGATTTTTACCCATGCCTGCTTGTCCCTCTCTGAAGCTATCCATGTATGTTGGGAAGACCTTCTAGAAAGTATGTAAGACACATTTTTCTACAGTGGCGGAAGCAAATGGATGGGATTCCCAAGCTAAGGCCTGTCGTCTCGCTTCTGAGAGCAGACACAGCGGATATTCTTCAGAGTCTTCCACAAAACCAAAGGCTAGATTTTGAAGCTCTATCCGGCACGTTGGAACTGCGCTTTGGCGAGAACTTAAAGTCTTCATCGACAAAAATTTACCAAATTATGTAGTACATTAAATGTTCATTTAAATTGTTTGAAATTAAATAACCTTTGCTAATTGTGTGAATATGAATCTGTAAGATATTCAGAGTTTAAATGTGTCTAGTGGTTTCCTGGGTTTTGCACTTTTTTGGGTGTTGAACTGATAAAGACAAAGATTACTTTTAATTGCTTTTCTGAGATATTTTTAAAGTTTTAATCTTAAATTATGTTTTTATTGATTCAGAAGCAGGCTAATTTATTAAATTCTCTCATGACATCAACACTGTGATGACGATGCAATGAAAGATGTGAATTTCTAATTTCAGTTTTGGTTTAGACATGTATTGCTCACTTTTTCTTGCAGTTTGCTTGTGTGCTTCTGTTTTTTGTTTTTGTTTTGTTTTTGCATATATTAATTCTGAACTGAATATAAGATGAATTTTAAATGCATTATTTATTTTACTTTATTTTGCATTATATATATACTTTTTTTTAAAGCATCCATTCATATGTAATGCATGTGATAGTAGACCACTAAGAGAACTGATTAGTGAACATAAAGCAGAAGTTTTTGAAGAGGTTACCGAAGAAGTTACTGAAGATGACGATGAGGTAACATTTAGTTTTGTGTATACTAAAAATCTTAGTTTGATCTGTTTTTATATGAAACTAACTGTAAATTCTTTTAAGGTTCCATCGGGCTTATCTTCATCACATATGAGTGTTAATAGTGAAGCTGGTGGTGATAGCGGGTCAAATTTGAGTGATGTATCAGATACATCTGGTTTTAAAACAGAAGGTGAGTATATTTTAAATGCATATACACTTTCCCAATTTATGAAGAGGGCTTATATTTTAATTTTACATTTGTGTAGTTTCTAGAAGGGTAGAAGTTCTGTTCCATAACATTAGTTAAAGCAAACTCAAATACATCATTATTAGTCTATAGGTTTACCATTTGTTCTTATTTTCCCAGACATGAGTATATAAATATCTTATTTTAAAGGAATTAATTTACTTTTGATAGACATTTTTGCCATAAAATTATACCTGTAGGTCAGAATTTTAAAAATTCCTGTATAATAGTTGCTTTGAATACTTAGATATGTGGATTGAGCCATTTAAAGAGTTTTCTTTTTTCTAATCGATAAAACTCGGAAATTTGTCCTGTGCAGATCCATTGAATACATAAACTTAAAAAGAAACAATATTGGTGGCAACAGGCAGTTTTAATCTGTTCTGCATTTTAAAGAAATTCACGGTATATGAGGAAAATGAGGAGTATCATTTCATAAAAGAGGGACTCAATACTTCATATCTTTGGAATGTATGATTTTGAATTACTGAAAATTGCACTGCTATTCTTTTTCTTTGCTATTCAGGCTTCCTATGTTAGTGCAGAAAGATTATTTTTGTTTATTCAGATCCAATGCTCTAAAATTGTCTTTTTGTGGAGTCAGTAAAAAAATAACTATTGTGATGTAAAACTTCCAGATGTCTAGCAATCTTTTTTCACATATGAAAGCATTTAGCATTTTAGAACATATCAGATCAGTAGAGCAATATTCTTGGGCTATTTAAATGAAGTTACCTTTTACTTAAAGAACTGAAGTATGATTAATTCATTATTGAAGTTTTTATTTCTGTATGCTGTCAATATGTAATAATTTAGGGAAAATTTATCGGATTATGCACATCCATTTTAATTGTTTGAAATTAAATTACTTTTTCTCTTTATATGAATTTGCATATATGAGATAGTCAGAGTTTAGATGTGTCCAGTGGTGTCCTGACTTTTACATTCAATACATGGACACTGCACTATTGTTTCTTCATGTTTGCATTTGAGGATGTACTTAACTCTAATCAAATATTGTGAAAAAATTTTCTTTTTTTCAAGATTAGTACTTTTATAGTGAAATTCTGTTCATCTAAATTATATAGGTGAGATATTTTTGATAACTTTTGCCTTGAAAGACCCATGGTCAGGATTGTTTACCCCCTTCCCCCCAAAAAATGCATTTTTTAGGTCGCATAATTTTTGACAGTAATGTTACTTTTGAATGCTGTATTTAGGCAGATCAGTTAGTGTCCCTTTTTTTATTTATTTATTTATTTTTTAAAATTCCAGCATTTGAAAATTAAGAAAGAAAATTGCACAGTATAATTTCTAAGGGTTATTAAAAGAAAAATTGAGCTGGTAAAGGAGTGTGAATGAGTTTTTATACACTGGCCATCAAAATTAAAGGATAATAACAGAAATAAAATGTAACTGATACTTAATGAAAAATTATTATTAGAAATTTGTACAAAAGCAGTAGTTAACATAAATTAGAATGGTACTTGATTATTTGCAAAATATTGAAATTAAAACCAAACTTATGGCAATTGCAGAATGATGGAAAAGTTAAGTTACCTCGTATGAAAAGATTTTTTCTTTAATATTATGTATGATCACCTTAAACATATATACATACATACCTCACATACTAATTTCATAAATTTTACTGGAGTATTGATCAAGTCTTGTGGAATTGCATGTGCCACTCTTCTAAAAGTGCTCTTTTTCAGCTCCTTAAGGGTTGGGAAGGAATTTGGCATGTTGAAATATTGCCACCCTAAGGCATCCCACACATGCTGAACTAGATTCAAGTTGGATGAGTAAGGTGGCCAATCCATTTGAGTGATATTTTTTGTTTCCAAGTGTTGTGACGCCACATATGCTTGATGAGGCTGAGCATTGTCATCTCTTAGCAATAAACACTGGGCCTAGAGCAACTCTAAACAGTCTAATTTAGGGTTCCAATACCTTGTCCACCTATCTCAGAGCAGATACAGAACCTCATTGCATATATATATATAAGGAGGAACCCTGTTCACGAAAAGATATGCACCTCATATAATATAACCTTGTCCATGAAAAGATATGCAGCTCGGTCCAGCCATTTGTCGTGATTTATCCCCAAATCATTAAACCACGATTCCGGAAGCGGGCATTTCATGGACAAGGGAAGAAAAGTTTCATGTTTCTTTCTCTTTCCAGATCAAGACATGTGTGGAATCACTGTTCAGACTATATCTGGACTCCTCAGTAAACAATACTTGGCTCAGTCGTCTTGGCTCTATTAAACATGACGACGGCACCAGTTTAAATGGTCCCTTCTAGAAGAAGTGAGTGTGACACAAACCATTAGTTGTCTTACATACAGTCCAACCTGTTTAAACCTTTGTGCAGCAGTAGAATGGCTAATTCCATTTCCATGTGACAGCCTGAAGGTCTAACATCAAATATCTTCAAGCCGACAATGATAGAAAACGGTCTTCTGATGCAGTTGTTGCTCTTGGTCATCTTGACCAGGCTGTCTATCAACTGACCCATTGCTTGGAAAACGTCTTCAAACTCTTGTGATGACACTTTGAGAGGGATTCAAATCTTGGGTGACCTCCATTTGTGTGCTGATCTACCTCGATTCTACCAATTATTCACCACTTTTGACCTTCACTTAAATGATGCCTTTGAACTGTAACTATCGAATACTGGTCACTCTCAGAAACTACACTCGTTTTAAACAACACTACAGACCAGAATTTCAACATGTGTCCATTGTGGCCAACGTTGTCAGTTACCGAATCTGCATATTTTTGGCATTAATGTATGTGTAAGAGTGCAATTTTGTGTTCAGTTGTATTTTATTAACATAAATAGTGGCAGCGTTGAACATTGGTTGTAACATTAATTTAGTGAGCATATTTTTTCTCATTGTCCTTTCATTTTGATGAGTAGTGTATTAATATATCTCAAAGATCTCATAAACAATTATTGCCTTTTACATTGTATTTGTGTTTTACTACATTGCTACCTATTTTTAAACTCTGCAAAGTGGATCTAAAATTTTTAAATCATTCACTAAAAATGCTGGAAAAAGCTACTAATTATTGCATGTTGAACATAAAAATCTTTAAAATATGTTTTTTAACCTTTTTATTTTTTTCTTAATTGCATAAAGGAAACGTTGTGCATTAATTGTAATAACATGTGTTAAGTTTTTATTGCAGTTATCAGTTATGAAATTAGGTGTTCTACAGGTGAAGATGAAAAAATGCATAACGATTATTAATAGTAACATGAGTTTTTTTTAGGTGAACTGGGGGGGGGTCTTGTAATGTACAATAAAGATAAGTACACCCTGCTATTTCCAGATGTGAGTGAAAAATATTGATAGGTTTTCTCATAAACTTGTTAAAATTCACAAGAAGTATGTTATAGAATTTGACTTGTAAGTTATGGGAATTTTTAATATTTTAATTTTTGGATGCGTGGTAGTGTATATATGAACAGAAAATTCTTTTATTGCAAAGCAGTTTTTAATAGATGTGATTTTCCAAAGAGTGGAGGTGTTAAAAATCATTTTTAGTCTAAAGATTTCATGTTGTTTTGTTTTTGCATATAATATTCTTAGGCCATTGATTTCTAATTCAGTATAAGTCAAAATGAATGCCAGGACTTCAAAGCTTTACTATGCAATATTTAATTAATGCGTTTATTCAAAAGTTGCATTATAATTATAATAAGGTATTATACAGAATTTACAAATAGCAGTTTGTTGTTTTATATTTTGCCAGTAGATAGTGATGTAAGTGCACTCACCTTTAGCATCTGGGATAATGAGTTTAAAGAATGAAAGAATGAAAAAGATAAAGAATGAAAATGTTGCATTTAGTTATGTCTTTGTAACATGGTGATGCAGCAGCAGAAAGCATTTTCTGTCCTTGAGTAATAAAATATAGACAGACAATGCTGGATGATAAAGCAGTTTGTTGTTGGTATCCAAAACTTCAAGAGAGAGGCTGCATTTGCAAACAAAAATCAACAGGCCGTTCTTCAGTGGGCATAGTTCAGCATATTCAAGACAGCTTTGTGACAAGCTATCAAAAATCTATATTGAATTGAATGAGAACTGGGTCTGCTGCTGAAAACTGCAGGATGAGTTCTTAGAAGCATTTGCTGAGAAAACCATATCATTTGCAGTTGGTGCAGTAACTGAAATGAGAAGACCTGGTACATCGATTATCTTCCTGTGATACACTTTTGACGTTGATAGAGAATAATGAATTTTTTAATGTTTGGTATTTACATTCCAGATTAGTTACTGAACATTCTCATGAAAATGTGCACTATGGACCTGATTCCCTGAAGGTTAATATGTTATGTGTAACATCTTACTAAAATATATATGAATAATTCTTTTTTGCTGAAACTACCTTGTTGGGAATTGTGTATCTCGATATGCTCCAATTATGACTTGACTGCAGTCACAAGATGACCTGCTTAGATTTATTTTGCAGCAGGATGGTGCACCACCACATTTTCTGATTGAAATGCAGAACCACTCCAATAACACTTTACCGCAACAATGGATTCATCATGTATCTGCTTTAAACAAAACACTGTTACCTTGGTTGCCATAATTCCCAATTCTCAATGGTTTTTTGGGAGTGGGTGGGTTTGTAAAGGGTCACATGTATCTGCCTCCAGGTCCAACAACCATGACTGATTTGAATGGCCTTAATGGAGCTGCTGTTGCCAGCATTGATACTGACATGCTACAGAAGGTTTGGCAAGAATTTATGTTACAGGCTTGATATGTTGTATAACAAAGATAGCATATATTGAACATTGTGAGAATTACCTTCAAAACTTGATTATAATACCTCCATATGTCTTTTGAATAAATACATTAATTATATTTTGCATTGTAAAGCTTTAAAATCCTGGCCTTCATTTTGACTTACCCTGTATAAAATATGTATTTCACTTACAGTAATAAGAAAATGGAAAGAATTCTATTTATAAAATTAAATTGAAGTGTTATTGGATTCACTGGCTCAGTGCTACTTTTTTCCTCCAGTGTTTTGGCTAAATGAAGTTCAGTGTAGTGGCAATGTAGAGGTTGGGCTGATACTAAATTTTCTCAAATCTGAATTCAAAAGTTAAATTGTTGTCAAATTTTGAAGCATTCATGTAAAAATAATGGGAAGAAGGGGAAAAAACAGATTTTGTTTTATATTATAAAGCTTTAATAAAAAACAAAGTTTGAAATGTTTGTATTCAGTGAAAAGTAAAATCTCTGCTATTTTCAAAACACATCTATATTTATTAAGAACATACATGGACTTTAGTAAATAAAGTGCATGATTAAAACTCTTGAATCTTGAAATTCATTTTCTCAACATAATTTAATTAATATATATATATACATGAGTAACTCCTGAAATTTTTTTGTTTGTCCAAAAAAATTTCAAAATCAAAGCATGTGTGCAGAGAAATGAAGAGAAGGATTATTTCAAGAGCTAACATAGATAACATTGAAAGTGAAATACCAAATTCTCTATAGAAAACTGATAATAATCACAAACTCTTTTGATTTTCTTTTAATTAATTCTTACAGATTTCCCAGTAGATCACTGAATTTCTTGATTTTTAATTTTTAGCCTTATTAATGAAAGCATTTTTCATAAATAAAATTAAATTGTATAAAGGAAATTAAATTGAAAAAATATTTGCTCCATTTAAATTTTGCACTGTTGAATCAATGAAACTTGAATTGTACAAATTTCATCACTTCTATGATCTTAAATATTATTTTTCTTATTAAATTTTATTCTAACTGAATTATCTTAATTTATTGTAGATATTCATAAAACTTTATATGAAGATTTGACCATAAATATTTATATTTTATTTTATATCAATGTATGGTGCATTGCTAAGTTTATCTACACTGTAGTATGTATATTAATTAATCATTTTATTTTTACAATGTTTAAAAGTACCTTTGGTAAATCAAAACTTTTCTTTCCTACTCAGGATTAAGAGAGACAAAGAATATAAAATAGAAAATTGTAACTAAATTAGTTTACATCAGAATTATATTATAAATAGTTGAATAAATAGAACCGTACATTAAAAAAATGAATTTAAATAAATTTTGAGCTCTTTTAAAATAATGCCACGTATTAGCAGGAATATTTCATATTACATTACTGGATGTTAATGAAATGTAAAAAAATCAAAATCTTTGATTAAAATGTTTAACGGTTTCAGGTTTTCATATGGGGGGGGCTGAAGATTTGAGTTTTTTAACCTTAAATCCTTTTTAAGATTCACTAGATTCAAGGTTTTGGATGTTCTACCATAACTTTTTGCAGTAATAGCATGGGCGTAATTGATAAATATCAATTATAACAAGATTAATTTGCAGAAATATGCTCCTTCTTGTAATTGGAAGTTTTATTCAACTAGTAATTGGAAGACCTGGAGTTTGAGCATCACAAATTTTCCATGTTTTTCAGCCCCCTTCTTAAAAATAGCTAAGGATTTTACAAGCAGTGCCTAGACTTGAGTATGATGGACAGTAATTCGTTATCACCAAGATTTGGTGACTATGTTGTATCCATACTAGTCGCCCTTCAAGTGGGGGGAAAATGTAAGGAATTTTTTCTTTGTTTACCATGTGTAGTTGTTTCTTTGTTTACCAAGCATGTTTGGCTACCAGTCTCTGGAGTTTGAATTTCAGGGAGAGCATCACTGATTCGTTGTGCTTCTTGGCTTTTTTTTTTTTTTTTTTTTTTTTTTTTTTGAGGGGTGGACATAATGACTCTTCAAATTTATATTGTATTTTCTTCTGGGGTATTATGCTTCTCTAAAAGGCAGAGTTACAGTCTGTGTTTGTTCCTTCATATTTAAGAATGGTTTTTTTTTAAGTTACTTTTTGTGTTGAATGATAATTGTTGCTTTTTTATATGACATAATCTACCAAAGATTTCTATAGCTGTATACATTTTCATGTGTGGTATAATATATGGTGTTTATTTGCATGTTTTGACTTCTGAATTTTTCATTTGTGGGTGTAATGAAGTAATGAAGAAAAGACTTTTCCTTTAAAACTTATATTAAATAAAATAGAAATAAATTATCTGTCATGTCAAATCAATAAACTGAATTACTGTTCTTTTGTTGGGACCAAATGCACAAATGTGTAGATAATATGCTTGTATGTATGTGTTCATGTACGTACACAGTGCCAAAAAAAAGAGGGGACAGCTCTATATCTCCCGTTCTACTGGGCCGATTGATGAAATTCAAACTGTGTTTTCCATGCAATATGAAGCAATTTCATGCAATACTTAAGATATATATTAGATTTATATGTAGCATAGTTCTAACGTAGGTATTTTGATGAAAAAATATGACTTTTTCTGAAATGATATGTCAATTTTTTTCAATATTTTGGTTCTGTGACTTAAATTAGGCCTAGATATTAAATTTTGTAATTTTTGGAGAGAAATTAAAAAATTTTTATTGGTTCATTTTTTCCAGGTTGCGCCAAGTATAATTCACTTGGTGAACTGATTAATTTTATAGCAACCTATTTTCCTTTCCTTTTTTCCATTGACCATGAGTGGAAAAAAAAGTCATCATTCATACTTTCAAATAATATTTTAACAAAGTGTGTAAACCACATTTTGTTATTATCGCTTATAATAAATACATTTCAAAACGTGCCAAAAGGTAAATTCATGTATATCTTAGGAAATTTTGAATAAAAACTCTTTAATTTTTTGTAGATATACTTTATAAGGTTATAGGTTATCTTTTATAGGTTATAATTCAATTTTTTGTTGAAAAATGTATAAACATTATTTTAAAAATACAAATTAAAAAATAAATCGTAAAAAATAGGTGAATTTTATTTGGAATGAACACAAATTTCGAAATAGGAAGGGAAGAATCATGTAAGTTTAATAAAAAGAGAGATACTGATAAATATATATCAAAGCCTATTAACATTTAGGAGCTAAAATTTTGCAAGCTAATTTCTTAAAAACTATTTGTGTGATTTTTACAAAACTTGGCAGTTGGCATAATTTGAGGCATAGAATCAAAATTTGGAAAACAAATTGGCATATCATTTCAGAAAATGTCTGATTGTGTGTCAAAATACTTATATTAGAACAATGCTATATATAAATCTAATACATATCCTAAGTCGCTCTTTTGAGACATAAAAAACTCAAACTAAATTTCGTCAATCGGCCCAGTATAAGGGGAAATATAGAATTGTCCCATTTTTTCCCACACTGTACATTCATATATGTATGTACAATTGTCTGTGTACATACATACATACATGCATGCACATACATCCATACTTGTTTAGGTTTCTCAATGCAGTCCCGAAAACAGAAGAGTACATTTTTTTAAATTAGAAGATATGGTATTAAAGTATCAATTAATTGCTGCACTTTATGAATGGGGTCTGTAATATTTGGTTCTTATAGGCCCATCTCTGAAGTCTACTTGTGACTCAATTACAGATTTATCTGAAAATTCAAGGCAAATATCTAAAAACCTCAAGGATCAACATGTAAAACACATGGCTCCAAAGTATCCTGAAGTTGAAACAAAGTCACTTCAGAGACACAAAAGTAAAGAAGATGTGTCGTGTGTTAGAAACGAAAGTTTAAAAAAGGCACAAAGTACTCCATCATTATTAGAAAATGAAACTCTTTTGCCTAGGTAAATTTTGACTGTTTTCTCTTTCATTCTTTCTTTAAATAATTTTTAAAAAATTATATGTGTTTGGTGTAAAGATTCATTTTTAAACTGCGGTAAAAGAAAATTGTCATGTTTGGATTCGTTTGGAAGTGTACTGTCTGTGTATTGTGTACTATCTGTGAATAAATAAATGGAAAATAAATAAATAAAATCCGCAAGCTTTCAGATTTTACATTGTGCCCAAAGGGGTCTTTTTTTTTAACGCTTTGTGTTTTACCTTTATTTATTAAATATCATGTTCTTTGCACTTGAACCATAAAATTCAATTCAACAGCAATATCACAAAATAATTTTAAAAAGTGCATATCTTTAGAATTTCCGATATACACTCTTGCGTGCTGGAGATAAAAACATTGCTTTTTTCCGTACAGTTTTGCTCGCTTAGAAATCATTGAGTTTCTTAATCAAAAACTCATAAATGCTTTAGAAAATATTAAATAGATAATAAAACAAATTCCAAATTTGGGCTTGCAAATACCCATATTTGGGCAGAGATGTAAGTTATTCAAAATTGGGTGGCTCTAGATACCGTTGTTTTATCACAATGCGAGAAACCTACATACATTTATGCAGATTATTCATTGTTTAATTTCTGTAAATATAACGTAGGGCTTGCAGGGCAACAATTTGAAAAGTGAACTGACATTTATAGTGAACCAATGCAAAATACCAAAACGAGGTAAATAGCCCCTGTGAGCTAACAAAAATTCATCTTGGGGAGGGAGGGGTAGAAAAAGAAAAATATTATAACTAATAATATTTTGGTTATATTAAATATATGCAAATAATTTTTCTAATCTTTTGTAAAAATTGTACTTTTACTAAAATTATTGTATTTAGTAATTATGATACAAGATAACCAAAAACGTTCTTGCCATTTTGGTTGGACAGTCGGAAAGAAAAAGTCATAAAGCAAATAATAATCACCGCTAATCCTCAAAGCAATCACCATTGGCATCCATTGCCTTTTACCAACAAGTGGCTATCTGTGCTATGCTATTGCGATAAAACTTAGGAGTCTTGGATGCAAAGAAGTCTGTGAGGGCCTTTTCGAGGTCTGGCTGCGTGTTGAAGGATTTCTCACAAAGATTGTTGTTCAGGGACTGGAAAAGGTGGTAGTCTGTTGGCGTGAGGTCTGGGGAGTATGATGGATGGGGTAGTGTCTCTCAGCCCAGTTGCTGGATGGTGTCCCTGGCCTCCCGAGCCACACGTGGCCTCGCATTGTCATGAAGGAGGAGTACACCCTTATGATTGACCAATGCTGGCTCTTTATGCATCGGTGCCTGATGCACACATTCTAACTGCTGCAAATACAGGCCTGCCATGATGGCTTGGCCCACTGGCAGGAGCTTATAGTGCACCACTTGGTGACTAGTCCACCAGATACAGAGCATGATCTTGTGTGGGTGGAGAGGTCTCACAGTGTGAGGCATAGGGTCCTGTGGTGACAACGAATGTCTGGAACAGAGTGTGTCATATTGGACTTACTTTTCATCGCTGGTGCGTACTCAATCAAATGTTGAGGCATTCCAGTTCCGAGTAAGCAGTGACAAACAGGCAGGGACATGCTGTTGCTTGTTTGCATCACACAGTGAGTGGGGTGGTCACTTGCTGAGCTTATATATCTCTCTTATGGGGGTGCATATCGCATAGTGAGTCTGATTGTTTCATCATATACCTGGAAGTGGGCAACAAGCTCACCACATTTTTGGCTACTGTCACTCTGTATGGCTGCTCTCAGGGTATCATTGTTCAGTGCTTGTGGCTGACCGCTGTGGGGTGCATCACTAAGAGACATATCCCATGACCTCAACTTCTGGAACCATTGCCCTAGCTGTTCGTTCGTTAACAGCATCATTCTCAAAGTCCTGGTAAATTCGGTGACTTGATTCTGCTGCTGATAGGCCCACTTTAAAATCATACAGCAAACAACTCCGAACAAGCGCCTTTGAAGTTTCCATTTCAATCAGTCATTGTGTGAGTTATGTTTGAAATACCGATGCAACACGCTTTTATACTCTAGGTCAATGTCCGAACTTCCAACCTAAACACTTCGTCCCCATGTTGTTGACTATTTTTATGTTGGGGTTATGTCTTCCAATGTCATATCAGAAATGGAAAGAAGTTTTTTGGTTACCTTGAACTTTAATTCAATAATTTATAATTCAAAATGCTATGTTTGCTTATAGGATTTTTGGAAATTTTAAAATTTAGTATTATTTCTTGGGCAAAAATTCTACCTTGTTTATAATTATAGTCTGTATTTTCTTTTTTTGAAATATGTTATTCTGTAATTAGTGAATTTTTTTAATTAGTTTCAAAATGCTTCATAGCAAATCAGATTTAATATTTTCTACTAATGTACTCCTTTGAGTTAAAATAACATGCCATATAGTGATTATTGGAGGAGTTAAGGCAATAAGAATCAGCATAATATTCATAAATTTATAGGATTAGTTTTAGTAGCTTGACTTACTTCCTTTCATTTACATCACCTTATCTTACCACTGGCTTTTCTTTTGTCATTTGCACTTCCGCAGCTAAATAAGAAGGTTCTGTATTTATGTTCTTTTGAAACTGGTTCTGAAAAATTTTGAATATCACACTGATTCTTGTTCCATTAAATCCTTCAATAATTTACTCTTTTTAGATGTCATATTTTGGATTCAAAAATTTCCCAATAAGGATAATATGTATGTATATTGTAAGATTATGTTATAAAATCTGTGCACGGGATTGTTAAGGATTAAATTAAAAGTAGATCGTTTTCATTCCCAGTGTCGGATGTATATGTTACAGTTGATGGAATCCATTAGCTGACTTTAAGAGCTTATCTTGTAGATTTTAAATGTTAATGGATTGATGAGTGTGTTGATTGGACTGCTGAGATAGTCTGCTGTTAAACAGAATTGTATTATGTTGCAGTATTTAAAGGAATGTGGTATTTCTCATATAATGACCAAACATAAACTTTAAAAAATATATATTTGATGTACGTATGCAGGAGTTGGTAGTAATATTGTAATCAATAAGAAACTGAATGAGTTATTAGCAGTTTTAGATTCTAGAGTAATAAAAGCTTTTGATCTATATTATTAGCCTTATGTATCATATATTTATATTTTCAATTCGGATCATTCTGTTGACTACTTTGGGGTTTGTTTTAAATAAATGCTTCTGTGAAAAAACAAGTTGAAGTAATGTCTCATATGGATGAAAATAGGTTTGTATTAATTACAGAAGTATCCCTCTGTTGCCTTTTTTTAAAAGCTGTATTAAACAGTTTCTTGATTATAGAGGTGAAATACTTCACATTGCCTCTGTTATTTTTAAGATTGTATTATAAAAAATCCAGAATAAAGTCCTAAGATTTATCACTGAGAACGGATTCTCAAGAACAACTGTTATTTAAAAAATTTTAGATGAAGATCCTTAAGCAGATGACAAAAGTAATCATTAAACATGCATGAAAAATGCAGACTTTCTGTGAATCACTGCTTAAAATGACTGCTCACCTTCCAATAACAAGTTGAAAACCACTAAAACTTCATTTTCTGCAACAATCAAGATCAATGTAAAATGTGATCATGCATGCTCTATTTATGTTACCTGCTTGTCCCTAACACTCAGAAATTCTTTCTTACTGACATTCTTCTGTTGTTTTAGGGAGGGGGAAGTATAAAGTCTGTCCTGCAACATTAAGAGTGCATGTCTTAGACTGTTCCAGTCTAGAAATTACTTCATTTATATTTCTCAGCTTTTGCATACTTATACTGATATATCTTTTGAAACTAGGAAGTGGTTAGTAGTGTTCGTAGCGGTCCTTATATTTGAAAAATAAAATATAAAGGCCCTTGTAGGTGCTTACTTTTTCTTTAATGCCCTTATTTTTTTTTTATTATTATTATTTATTTATTTTTTTTAGTGCTTTTTTTTAAATGAACGCGCAATTTTCCCCCATACCAAAGCCGAAACTAAATAAACAACATTTCTTCCTAATATGGGATGTCAGATGGTGAATCATACTCCCGGAAATAGCTTTTCCCCCTTTCTCTGCATTAACATAACCTCTGGTGTGCGCGGAGAGTACAGACAGGTGCCCGTCATTCTGTTGGTCAAAGAATTGCAAAAGCAGTAGAAAATACCGGTACATTTGGCATTCTTTTCCTCCCACCCAAATACTACACTCGTTTGAATTTCTATCAAGATCTTAATAATTTGCATTCTCGTTTCGCTTGGTCAGTTCATATTCGTGTTTATTGTGATCGTTATGCTTATATTATGAGCATGTGTATGAATGTTTATAATAACATAGTTGCAGTAACTGCTGAAGTATAATAAACTTCCAAAAATTGTTGTGTTTTAACACAGATTAGCTTTCTAATTAATAATATTCGGAACGGCTTAAATAAAGGGAAAGTAATTGAATAGTCAAAATAATTTCATTTTTTTGACCAATACATTATACAGTACAAAGGTTGTGAGGTTCTCCCCTTTCTCTGCAAAATTTCGAATATTGAAACTGTTACAGTTCACTGCAAAACAAGCAATGGACTTTTTTTTTTTTTTTTTTTTTTTTTTTTTTTTTGTCACTTTCCAATCTGGATTGAATGGGACTAAAAGTTCTGCGGTCTACCAACCCAAGCGAAGAATGATTCTATTCCGGAAATTTAATGCAGTCTGTTGAAAATTAGAATGAAAAACACCCCAAGTCTCTTTCTTTTCCTTTATTTAGTTTTTTATTCTCCCAATATCGGCAGCTGTTGAATCCGATTGCGTAATATCATGTAGGGAAGAATTACAGTGCACGTATTGCGCAATAACGTTTGGGGTATTTTGCAGAGTTAATTAATTTTGATGTTGGGTCCAAGATTTGTTTATGAACACTTAAAAGAGTTTTTGCTAAGCAGAATATTTTTCTGTTCCGTTGGTTTGTTTTTATATGATGCACATATCGAAAT